ATTTATCATGATCGGTGGAGATTGGCCCATTTATCATAACTGGTTGACCAATGGCAACATGTATGAAATGGCACGAGAGAACAAAGGATATCAAGTATATATCGAACATCGGTATTATGGAGAATCTCAAGTTTTCGCGTAAGTTGAAACCCATGACTAATATTAGGTATGAAAAAATTAAAACTTAATGAGCGAGACTCAAAACAAAAGTGGTGTATAGTGGGTTTTACATTGTGTAACTAATACTAGGTACACTTTTGTTCACTTCTTTACATTTAAATTAACTTGTCTTACCCATTCCCTATACATGTTCCAAATTTTCCTGAATATGCCATAGTACCTAATTTATATCTTTACACAGAACGTCGACCACAGAAAATCTTCGTTTCCTGAACGCTAATCAAGCACTTGGTGACCTCGCGTATTTCATCACAGAGATGAAGAGGCAACCACGATTTGTAAGGAGCAAAGTGATACTGTACGGAGGAGCGTATGCTGGTAAACTAGCGATGTGGTTCAAGCAGCGTTATCCTCATTTGGCGGTCGGCTCCGTCGCGTCCAGTGCCGCTATCTTAGCTAAAGTTGAGATCAGTGGTTTGTAAAATACTTTTCTACTTACCTACTAGCAAACTTATAAAACTTAAAAAACGTACGGTTGGTTCAGTGGGTGGGCAGTGTCGCGGGTCCGATTCCCGCACGGAACAATTTCTTTATGTGGTCCACAAATTGTTGTTTCAGGTCTGGATGTAATGTGTATTTGGGTGTTTGTAAACGCATCCATAACATGGGAAAATCCTATTGTGGGATAATCTTTTTACATAACGTCACACCTTATATACCCGAAGGGTAGGCAGAGGTACATATCACGGACACCCACTTTTCACTATTTATGTAATGAGTCCCATGTAATATAGGGGGTGAGCCTATTGCCATAATACCGGGCACATTTCCAGACTCCGTGCTACCTACTCCTGAGGTTTTTTTAAAAACCTAGTAATACTTTGCCCCACCCGGGAATCGAACCCGAGACCCCTTGTCCCGCAGTCGGACTTGCGACCACTCGGCCAACGAGACAGACAATGTTTTAATGTTTAAAATAGTGTAGGTTGGTACCTACAACTTAATGCTTTAAGTAAAAATCAATAAAATATGAATTGTAGAGCTACTGGAAGTGGTCCATGAAGCTTTCTTGCTAGAGGGAGGGGAGCAGTGCATAGCTCACATTAGACAAGGAATACACGAGACAGTCACGGCACTGCAAACCGAAACTGGAAAACGCACGATTGAGGAAATGTTTAGGTAAGTAAAATCTATATTGTATTTGTTTTTACCAAGGCTATCCTAAACGACCTAGAACATAACAAACTTATTCGTTGTCTTGAATGAAATGTGCCTTGTTCCTTTTGAATTTAGAGTTGATTTTGTTTTGGTTTCCTTATTTATAAGAAAAATACGACCCAGCCACATTTTGGTTGATTTAGCGGCGGTGGGTTTGTTATCTAGCTACTAACTATAGCCGTGCCCCCAGTACGTACATAGCCGTGCGTACTACCGTGCCCCCAGATTATCTATCTAATATTAGTGGATTCTAAAGTACCTAGGTCTAAGAACATATTAAATTAAATATTAACTATATTATTTTAATAAATTATTATAAGAAACCATGGACGTCATGGATTAATTAGGTAAATACCTTAATATTATTAGTCCATGCTACAAAATAAACCATTCAATACGTAGCTATTCAAGTAGCTATGTAGGTACTTATGAACATGTGTGGTGATTCCGTAAGGGCAACCCGGGTCACGGTCACAGGCAGTGAAGGAACACCGCGGTGGTTTTAGCCGGTATGAGTCCGGCACGCCCCCTCGTCGTCTCCACGGCGCGGAAAGTCCATGAGGATTTCCATCGCGATAGAAAAAAAAAAAAAACAAAAAAAGTACTTATGAACATACCTATATGTGTATATACCTATTAACAGCTATAGACAGGTAGGTAATGTATCTACTTACCTATTTACTTACAAATTTTTTTCAGTTTATGTGACCGAATAGTAAATATCTTGGATTTGGGCCAGTTTTCGGGACTTATTGCGTGGACTTTCATGCATCTAGTGATGAATTCTAGACCAGGACAACTGAAAGACATTTGTAATAATTTCGACAATAATGTTTATGGTAGGTAATTAATTATGTATTATTGTATAAGATTGGTGTACATACCTATGTTATAACTGTTATAGGTAAGTAGATCCCCACAGCTCTGTAGGTACATACCTTATTAATCTATTCTAGATCTTATATCTTATACTATTATTTAAAGCGGAATAGTTTGTTTTTTTGTTTGAATGCGCTAATCTCCGTAACTACAACTCTGATTTGAATAATTCTTTTTGTGTTGGATAGAGCATTAAAACATCACGCTACGATCAATAAGAGCTGAGCAGAGCGCGTGAAACCGCGCGGAAGTAGCTAGTTGGCTCGGCAGCAGCATCGTTATCCTATACTATACTAAATCTATCGTTTAAGTACCTACCTACTATCTGGTACATATACCTACACATGTGTTAGGTAGAAGTTGCACTGCCGTAACGATGATAACATTAAACGTTAGAGAAATTGCAGGAGCAACTCCAATGCAGCAAATTGCTGGACTGATATCAGAAGGAACAAACACGGAGAACACGTGTTGGGATACTACGTTCGAAACTTCTATTAATTTTCTATGCAGCATGGATATGAATATGGGTGCGTACCTCAACTATATATGTATTTCTTTTTATTTTTTAACCTACTTCAAAGAGAAAAAATGTGATTCTCAGTGTCACCTCTATGTATGCAATTAGCTGAACCGATCTTATGTGGTTTTCAGAAGTGTTTGTTACACGAAGTTTTAGTAATTTAGGGCCGATTTATCAATCATAAGTTACCTAATTCTTAACCTGTAGAATAAAATTGACATTTGACAGTTATTATTATGGAAGGAATGTTCAAATATTTCAAAGTTATTCCTTTGATAAAATTTAACTGAACATTGAATAATCGGCCGGAAATATGTATTACCTTACTATAATACTCATATGTAGGATGTACCTATGTAATGTAGATAAATACTTTATTAGTAAGTATCTACTGAGGAAGTAGTATTTTGAGAGGAGGCTCTTTTTTGCTATGTTCGTCCAAACTGTGAGGCAAAGCCCTCCCTACCCTCCTTCCACTATATGCAAATCTGGAGAAAGCTATGGATCAACCTAAAAATAAATATCTGTTTCCAGCTTCAGCTCGTTCACTTTACTACCAAAATTGCGCTGAATATGGTTATTTTCAAACTGCACCCAAATCCGGCACTGTGTTTGATGACCTGACGTGGCTTAACCCAGACTTCTACAACGAGATTTGCCTAAGATGTTTTGGTAAAAGGTAAGATAGAATTTATTAATTTATACAATGTTTTAGGTAAACATACATACCTGAGAAAGCAATTCAAAAGAACAAATAATACTTAACTTTTGTTTAAATTATAGCAGCACATTCAGAAAATTAAGTGTAGGTACCTTCATTACACTTAATTCTTAAACAATCAAATTACAGAGATACTAATAACATAATGTTTAGGTTTATGAATACATATAATGATGGATGTCAGTGAATTATTAAAATATTTAATCCACAGATCGATCCCATTTCTCACACAATTAGTGTTGGTGCAAAAACCAACAAGGTAGAAAATCCCGGGCTTGCTAGTAACGAAAACCGGTTGACTATTCGACAGACGAAATTAATTTGTTTAAAAATAAACTAATATTTTCAGATTTGATCGAGATTTTGTTAATACTGCGGTTGATCGAGTTAACTTAGCATTCGGCGGTCTCAAACCCGAAGTGAAGAATGTCCTCAACATCCACGGATACTACGATCCTTGGAGGGTGCTCGGAGTATATAAAGAAGATATTTCAGAAACCTCTCCTACTTTTACTGTAGACAGGTATGAGCACATCAATTTTTTTTAAGTACCTAGTTTTAAAAATTTCTATGCATTTACGTTGGCTTAACTAGAATCGCCTAGGTACCCCTTACATGTCTAACGTGACTAGAAAATGAATGTTTCCTTTTCCTCAAAGATGAACTTTTAAAGTGCCATCAACCACTACATTCAACATATTAATAATTATGTTTATTATTTACTTCTACAAAATCAATGTTTGTTTGATACCAGGGCATCTCATTGCTTCGACTTCATCGAATGGGCACCTAGCGACGACAACGCTGAGATGATAGCTGTTCAGCAAGAAGCAAGGAGAATAGTGGCGTCGTGGCTATCCAGTTAAAACGTATCATTTTCGAGACGCTCATAGTACGTTTCCTATCATCACAAATTAAACCATTATGTACCACAAAGGTACATTCAAACTATTTTTTTTATAAAATTCTTACATTCACCAATTAAATTAAGTTGGTAAATCCTAAGAAATAAAATACTTATTACTATATTACAGCAACTTTATACAAAGTTGTTTATACTGACATTTGAATTGGCTTTGAATGACAAAGAATAAATTTAAAGTGTCAAAGTTTCACTGATGGTGAATAATCGATATCTAATTATTTATCTGAAATAACCCAACTCAATATTCAATATTTTCGTTATGTTTGTGTTGTCAGAATGCAATTCATGTCATTAAAAACAAGTAAATGATTTCTTTTTTATTTATTTAACCGATGTTTCAAGTGTAAAACGTGCCAATACAATATGTGCAGTACAGTTTTTACGCCGACCTAGACACTAAAATACTTCTCAATCTCTCAAGGTTAACATTTGATAAACATATAAACCGTGCGAATACAGGCGCGGCACCATTATGTAAATCATAACATTTACCAAGCAACAAGCTAAATGTAAAGAATCTACCCGGTTCATAATTTCGATACTACATAATTATGTTGCACTAAAGCCACTTTATTCTAAGGGTCTATTTAGAATTGGATTCACAAATAAAAGTGTATTTTTCTCCCGCTAGTTATTCGGGAAGACATAATTTTATTAAGTTTAAATTCCACAATCTGACAAATTGATAATCCACAGAAGTTAATCAGAAACTTTTAACAGGTCGAAGATGAAACAGATCAAAAAATATATATAATCGGAAATACTCACTAACCGTCCTAAGCAATAGTTTAAAACTATGTTAATCCCTAATGTCAAATGTACGGTTAGCATTTCGCCTAATTAAAACTACCGGCGGAATTACATTAAGGAGTAAATGCACAGTGCACTACTACCCTGGTCTAGTCGGTGTGTTTTCAAAATGGCTCTTTTCCACGTCAATCCTTTTCGGAAACACAACACAAATTGTGCTGCGCGTGAGATAGTAACCAGCTCAACTTGTACATACATGTCACTTAAGGAGTTATATCTACTAATATTGAATTTAAACAACATTAGGGGCAACTTCTCCTCGCAGCACTGATAAATTTGCAGTGAAGCGAAGGACAGCGGAACGAGGCATCAGATGCTCCGTGCTCGTTCAACCGGCACTCGCTCGACTGTGACGCGACCAGAGAAGTAGTCTACTCTACCAAAAATCATAGCACTTACATCGTAAAGCGTACAATGAAGAACATTCGAGAGTGTGGGCAGTCCAGATTTAAATTGTACATAAATATAAAATCATATTACATACTTCATTATCACTGGAAAGTTCATTTACTTAACTATAAAAACAATTAGGCAGTGTAAAAAGCAAACAATTTTGTTTAGGAAACTGAACATGTAATCTTAAATAAATAGGACTGCCATTAAAACCCCTGAACTAACTCAAATTCAGAAATGACGGCACCATGTTAAACCTATGTGTCTAATAATCTAGAGAATACTTAAAATATAGAAAGAACCTCGTAAATGCAACCGTCACGTGATTTTACAGCGTCGCCCACAGTTCCACTGGCGAGGTTCATCACATACATATTAATGTCTAAAGAGAGACATCAGCGACATTCCCTGCGCCCTCGCTACAATTACACACGTAGATTAAGTGTTTATAACATACTGGTGAAAATATTTACAATGGTCTAATCCTCAAGTTGCAAGTCATTCTACAACCAATGGTTTGGGATTCTCCCATGGAAAGCCTTCTCGTCCAAAGTGGCCATAAGTACTGGTTTTCTGATATATTGGTGCCCTGAGGTTCAATTCCCTGAAAAGAGATAATTTTATTTTAGTAATGTATCAAAACTGTTGTTCATTCTACGATTTTATATAATTATGAACAATATAAGAAAGGAGAAAAAACTTACTTGACAATCTTGCCCGGTCGCAGGTCAAAGTTCTTTTGTACAATAGCAAGCAGTTGCTGTTGGGTCTTGTGCGAGGTGCCGTAGTCGAACACCGTGATAGACAGCGGCTCAGCCACGCCGATGGCATAGGCGACCTGGAAAGTAACAAATACTCTGTAAGTTTCTTCATAAAGTGGTGTCATTGGTCACGAGTAAAATAGACGTAGTTGCGTGAAAAGTAAAACGAGAATAGTCAATAGGTTGAAGATAGGTAGATTTGCATTTACATAATGAGTCAAGAGTTAAAGAATAGATAGAAGAGTATAAAGTACAAGGCGGCGTTAATAGACAGTCGCGACAGATACGTCAGCGGAAACCCGTCGCCGCGTCGTCATTACGCACACAGCCATAGTGCCAACACTTGCGCATATCTGACGTACCGACATTACCTTACCTATCAATATCAACAAATTGACGCATCATTTATTTGGGTTTCCTCCTCAGACAAATGTTATTTGCGTTATTAACCAACATTAATTATACATCGTTATTTTAGACTGCTGCAATTTATATTAATGATATTTGAACTCTATTTCGAGAAGATACTGACAGTCATTGAACTCAATATGTCACATTAGTAACACTAACCTTTTAGCAGTAGGTGCCTATATATTTAGGGAAGTAGGCTAAATGCTAGGTTGGTTTACAGGGAAATGACACAATATTACGAAGTTGGAGTAATTACCTGCACCATGCAACGGCGGCAGAGACCAGCTTTGACGAGCGACTTAGCAACCCAACGCGCGGCATAGGCAGCGGAGCGGTCCACCTTGGTGAAGTCTTTGCCTGAGAAGGCGCCGCCTCCGTGAGCGCCCCAGCCTCCGTACGTGTCCACGATGATCTTACGTCCCGTCAGACCCGCGTCCGACTAAACAACCAATCCAATACTTTAAAATATGTTTATTTTATTTTTCATACACATATTACTAGTAGTACTACTAATCGAAAATGTTGAGATTTTTAATGTTTGAAAAAGATTTAATCACTTTTTCGTGAGTTGGAATCGAAAAACGATTGGAATGCTTTAATAAAATGTAATGTAAATATTCTCACCTGGGGTCCTCCAATGATGAACAAACCGCAAGGGTTGATGTGGATCACAGTCCTCTCATCGAGGTAGTGGGCAGGGATCACTTCCTTAATGACCTTCTCTCTGATCTCTTCACGCAGGGTCTCCAATGTAATCTATATAACCAAGATATACATTAAAAATAAATACATGTCATCATCATAGGTCAAGGAATTAGTGACATATCTTTTTGTAGGTACCTATATGTATATCAGAAATGTTTACATTTATTACATAAAGCGTGACGTGACACTTGATAAATTTGTAACCTAAAAAGTTATCTCCGTGAAATGGACACATTAGTAATGCTATGGTTCAGTAGTGCGTAAGTTTTGTCAAGGAAATTACTCGTGTGCTAAGAAAATTATTCACACGTGATAAGACAAATGACGAAATATTACATAAAAATTCCATGGAATGCAAAAACACTTATATAGAAATAATTGATTTGTCTTTAATGTCCCGTGTCTTGATTGTGTAGAATGTTTGCACCAGGTAGTTACAAACGGAAGCTATTTTATTGCGAACAGATTTCTACCTTTTCGGAGTGTTGCAGGGAGACGACAAGGGTGTGAACTCTCTGTGGGACGGTGGCGCCTCCAGCGAACACGTACTCGCATGTCACCTGAAACCAAATAATACTTTATTAACATATACTGTCAGTAGACATACTGTTTAGTTGTACTGAGCAGACTGTAATGTTATTGAAATTCGACACGACGTGTTCGAGATCATAGAGGGCCACACTAGTCGACCCCCTCTGCTGAGCTATTGTTATTCTCGAAGGTTACAGAGCAGGTTAACTTAGCAATACAATAATGCACACAAAGGAACAATGAACGCGGATTTTTTCGTAATTTTGCATAATGATACTTTCATTACTAATTTAACCCTGTAATAAAAAAATATTTAATATTTTACTATAATAACAGATATTACTCGACAGTTAGTACCGGACATTCTTTCAATTATGAATTAGATCATGAAACTTGGTTCATCAAAGGTTCAAAAGTATTGTTTAGCCCTGACCGAAGCAATTTTATATTACACAATCCCCAAGCAATTTCGTAGACTCGACACTTTTACGTATGTTTTGTCTTGACTCTTATATGCAGTACATACTCCCAACGTATCTAATTGACCGATCTCAAATGTCGCTTGACACTGGTGTCAGTTTTATCACTCAGTCATTAAACAACAATTGATATATTAGACATTGATTGCGTCATGCGATCTCTTAACAGGAACAGCATTGAAAATGATATTCTTTAGAATAACATCATGCCTTATAATCCTCGAAGGGGTAGGCAGAGGTGTACATTATATACGGCACTTAATGCCATTGTGTAGAGTACAGGTGTACATTGTAATGTAACACTCACTTTTCACTATTTATGTTATGGGTCCCATGTAATAGGGGGGTAAGCTTATTGCCATAAACCGGACATAATTCCAACTCCATGCTACTACTGAGAATGTTTAAAAACAACGTAATACTTTGCCCGACCCGGGAATCGAATCCGAGACCCCTTGCCCAGCAGTCGCACTTGCGACCACTCGGCCAACGAGGTAGTCCCATATTCTTTACTTTTTTTTATTTTATTTACACTTGCACCTCTCTTCGGTTAGTTCAGAGCTTTTCGAAAAAGTCATAGTATAAGTCAACAAATCTATAAATGTAATCAACTAATCACAAATATATCTACAGCTTACAAGAATATATTATGAAGGTATTGACTTAATAAGAATTTTCGCATATAACATGCAATATCTCCACTTGGCAACCAATTTGTACAATAAGTATGCATTGTCCAGTTATTGAAACATTACAGTCCACTCGTTAAAGGGTTAATTGGTCTGCCGAGGACCTCTCGACACCAATGTGCATCAATCAAGGCTACTTAGTTGCAAGACTGAGACTGAAGATCGAAATAATGTATTCAAAGATTTGTAGTCAGTCACAAATTGAAATGACCTGGCCATATTCAGTAAATAAAAATCAAACAAAAATAACTTCTAAGCATATTTCACAGCTATCTTTATAATTGGGTAGTTTCCTAGGTTTAAAATAAATTGGTTTAACTTTTCAATGCAAAAAATCCATTAATTTGGCAATTTACCTACTTTTGGATTTTTTGTCGCTAGTTTTAAGGAAATAGGTATGCTATTTGACTCAGAAATGTAATGACGTCATAAGTTGCGATGCAATACAAAATTCATAGAAAAGTATCGTTTTTGACATTTCAATAAAAGTATTGCATTTGACTACTTGTCAACTACCGTATTGTAATAGAAGCCCATGATTGTACCCAAATAAACGGTTTTAAATCTTAAAATTTGCACTTCGCATATTCAGAGCAGAACCCTGAACATCTTTGCAAAAATGACTGCATTCCGGAAAAATGTCAAGCCTAAAGTTCATTGTTGTTTATATCAAAAAGATAAACTACTTGCCAAGTTTACAAAAATAAAATAATCTTAAATGAAGTAACATTTACCCTTTGACATGAATGAATATGCCAAATAGCTGCAGAGGTCAGATAATAGACTATCTGTGCGAGTTATCAGCTTCATTTGTGACAAATATTGATGTAATTAATATTATTGCGAAATATGTTTTTTTTAAATCATCACCTTATCATACCCAACAAATACCTGCAGTTTACATTCAACAAGAATGTAAGAAAAAAATTTAAAAGTAAATAGATATCTAATTACCTGAGTCTTAGAGTCTGGACGAGCCCACCAGAATTCACCGTTTCGCCGCAGTTCTGCGATCTTTTGGTTAAGTCTGTGTGCAAGTACTACTGTGAGAGGCATGCATTCTTCTGTCTCATCTGTGGCATATCCAAACATTAAGCCCTGGAAGAAGAAAAATATTAATTAAATATGTACACAATCTGTAGATTTGTAGAATAAATTTTATTTGTAATTCTCAATAAAAATTATTAGTATTTTACACAGACAAATCTTCAGAACATGCTAAGAAACAAACCTTTTTGTTAAATTAAAAAAAAAACAGATGTTTTCAAAAATGATCAAAAAGTAATTAATTCAAAAATGTTTATACACAGACAACATGTGGTAATTTTACAAGGAAACAATGTAAATTGCACAATTCAAAGAAATAAAATTTCCCAAGCATAGGTAACATCAGATTCATGAATCATGTTTGTTGCTTATTCACCATAATAGTAAATTAAATGTAAAATATGAATAACTGTTACTTTTGATAACTGCTTGATCATGGGCGATAAGTCCACTTAAATCAATGAGTAAAATTTGAATGAAATGTGTAAACGAACAAGTTGCAATCTTGTTGCAAATATGAAGTATATGATTATTGAAGTGGCTCATTGTTTTATGAGACATGAATGAATACATACCTGGTCTCCAGCCCCAACTTCATCATCATTTCTGTTTTCATGCACACCAGCGGCAATGTTTGGCGACTGCTGGTCCAACGCAAGCATCACGCAGCAGGTCTTGTAATCAAACCCTATTCCCAACATGCTTCGTTTAATATTAATTAATGACAAACTTATGACTATGATCATTACAAATAAAGTAAGACATTTTCACGCTTCATTATTGCTGGAAAAATTAATACTCATGCACTTCATAAATGTACTGTTGCACAGCTGAAAAACATTTGTATGGCTGTCCATGAATTTTGAATTGCATGAAATGAAAACCCAATTGATTATGAACATTTCTCATTCTGTAAATCATGCAGAATGTAAACCCATTTAGTTCTGAAAAGCCAATAGACCCAGGAGTTATTCCGTGCAGCAAATTTTCATCAATTTGTACCTGGTCTCCGGCCCCAATATCTAATTCCTCTCTTTGTTGATAGACTCCACCAGCTATGTTTGGACTTTGCTCTTCAATAGCCACTAATAAATTTAGTGTACGCCAATCAAAACCTAGTGTGCACGGAATAATATTCAACCATTACTAGAGTGAAGTTAAATTAGAATTTGTCTACATGGTACTGGCTTTAAGCCAAGGAACTGCATCTGTATACCTCAGGTAATGATGTGATTCAAGGATAATATTTACATACCTTTAGAAGAGTCGTCATAACCAATGTGCTTCACTGTCTCTCTCACAACCTTCTGGTAGTCAACATTGGCTTTGGAAGTGATTTCACCGCACAATAACACCATCCCGGTTTTCGTTACGGTTTCTGATAATAAACAGCTCAAGTCAGTAAAAAGTATAGCTACAGTATAAAATAATTACATTGACATCGTGGTTTATCACGACACTCACCGCATGCCACTTTAGCGTCAGGATCTTGCCTCAAATGTGCATCTAAGATAGCATCACTAATTTGATCGCACATTTTATCTGAAATAAAACATAAGCATTTTAATCCCTAATGAAAGTGCAAGTGCAATCATACATTTCATCGTTGTTTAGATCAGACCACGTGTTGCGATTATTTTGACAAATGTAAATTGCAATATACCCGCAAGGTCCATGATGTAACAAAACAATACCATTGAATAAAGCGTGCATGTACATGTGCTATTATTGTAGTACAATCAATAATTTTCGAGGACTAATATGATTAATAATGTAAACAAAAGGAATCCTATTTATACCTTTATCTACGCACATGCTAAGGCGGCCATTTTTCACCGAACAAATCCTGCATTAGAAGATATTGAATAAAACTAACCTGGATGGCCCTCGCCGACGGATTCTGATGTGAACAAAAATACTGATCCTTCTTCCATGTCATAACTATGTCCGTTTGTTTTTGAGTATCCATTCATTTTTGAGGTCTCCGGCATTCTGAATTTAGAGTTAGCTCACAAAAATAACCCGAAAGAGTCCCCTTGAATTAACACTGTGGAAAAGAGGTCTGGTTTGTGATCGCGCCGATATTTATAAGGTCGGAGAGGCGCCACAGAGCAATTCTTATTCGCCAATCAGAATTCTCGCAACCGTCGGCGCTGAACGCTGCTATTGGTTGAAATATATTGTTTTGGTTTTGTATAATCTGGAATAGAAACGCGGCAAGTTTTGAACATTCGTAATTACGTACGCGTAATGTAAAATAAATTGTTGACTTTAATCAACGCTTGTATCTAAATTAACTACATTAATGGTTACTGTTATTAGTAAATTAAACTACGTTTGAATTTTATTTTATTATTCACTGTAATCATAACCAAATTAAAGAAATCCATTTTGTAAGAAATAAATTACCCCGATGCAAGAAATAATATTTTAAACGTTAGGATAAAAAACATAGTACGTAATTCAACTTTTTATGATTTACAATGTTATTTAACTCGTCGAGTACCGGTTTTGTAGACACAATTATAGAACAATAGGTTGCGGTCACCGGTGACCGCTTGGTGTTTGACAGTTTAAAAACAGAAAAAAAAATACAAAATGAAATAAAGTAAGTTTCATTTTAAACACCATAAAAAATAAAGGTTAGGCAAGTACCTACATTGATTCAATAAACTTAAAAATTACATTAATTAGGTACTTACCTTATACAATACTTTCCACAAAAAACACTACAACAATTACTTACTTAGTTATCACTTTTTAATAAATACTGTTTTTCTATTTAATATTTTAAGTAATAAAAGAAATGCTTAGATGTGTAGTTTCCCGCGAGAAATCTCGTCGTCAACTGTGTGTAAGTTCGTTGATTCAACTGTACTTAAATACTAACAACGATGATGCATATTTATTTACTTATTCAAGAGCCCGCGACTTTTAGCTAATCATTATGTTGAAAAATATAGATAGTATTATAATCTTGTCACTTGTTTTTTTTTCTTTATAATATGACAATAGTTAATATCATTACTGTCAAACTGATGTTTTGGGTGATATTACCTACTTTAATTAAGCACTTCGTTCAGTGCTGCGCAGTGTCGTAGAACAATTTTTTATCAACAAGGCAAAAGTGTACACTTATTATATTTTTTTTGTGATTTTGTGCTCCCGATCTTTGTTATGGTTTTGCCATTGCTTCAACTCTGCAGTTTTTTACAAGGTGTAAGACTAAAATGCTAGTAATTAAACTAGGAAACGAGCGTTTCATTATCATTTAAGAAAGTAAGAATAATTTGTCAATCTATTGACCCATTATACGAAAATAGCTTTTAAATATCGAAATTAATTAACTTTTATTTTTTATATTACTTGCTTTGAGATAACCGAATCGAGGGCAAACCACGATAATTATTTCTGATGTAACTAAGTTCACATTCTGCATAACATAGAGCTATTATTTTACTTATACAAACCAGCTAGACAAATTAATAACGTCATTACTACATAGAATCATAGATACCTAAACAAATAAGATGTTCACCCTAGATGTGAGACGTACGTACCTATATTTTTTCATTAAAAATAACTTAAATAATATAACTTTCATATATTATAATAAAAATATTGAAACTCTCGTCGTTAAACTTGTCACATGATTATAATTATTATTCCTATTTAAATACCAACTTATCTATCGTAATGTAAATAATAAATACTTACTTAATTTTATTATACCTAGCTCGTGTTTTAATAGCTACTTACTGTAAAAAAAAACAAATCTTGACGCATTACCTATCACATAGTAATAGCCTGTGCCTTAGCTATCTAATCTGTATTGTGGATTTAAAATAAAATTAAAAAACTGCGTTGAAAAGGAAAGAAAATTTAAATAAAGAAGAGTTTTATTTATGGTATCTCGCATTGTAGCTTTGCCCTCGTTGATCGTCGGGTTACGTTTACATAATTTGTAATAGGTACTTTCGTGCACTTTACAGTCGCGGCAGTAAACAGTAAACAATGATAATAATAATGTAAACATATATTTTGATTTAGATACACACTTACACACATTCATTGATTTGAAATTATAGAGTGAGGTACCTATCTGCTCCACAACCTGGGCATCATTCCTTTTTTTAAAAAAAAAACTTATTTTTATTTTTACTCAGCTTTATTTCAAAAAGTAAATAATGTGATGTTCTTAGGTGTATAAGTAAAGTTTTAATTATGTCATAGTTAGCTATTTCATGTTTTGAACTGGAAGGAAAATCCCAGGCGTGAAAATAGGGGGAAGTGAATGTACTTAGAAGTGTATTAACAAGCGATTTTCCTCAAGACTTGTACTGAAGTCGGTAAGTAATTTATTCATATTTTCCTTTAAAATATATATATATAGTATTTAAATAAAAATAGAGGAATTCTTAACAACCATAGCTTTTAAGTCTGCAACTTTCATGTTTGTTTTAACAAAATATATTTTTATAAAACTATTCAGTAGTTTTTGAGTTCACTGCGAATAGATGCGTTGGATGGCGGAAATGCTTATTACAAAAAGAAAAAGATACCTTTGTAAATCAATGCCAAATTATTTACGTATTTAACAAATGCTGCTTGGATACAATCGTAACTCAATTGAGTCTAATTAAGGGAATTGATTTAGGTATCGATAATTAATTATATCCTTGGTACCTACCTAACTATTTATTATCTCTTTTAACTGATTCCGCAAGGAGTCTCTCGATTCAGTTCCGGATTTCGTAAATTCTCCATAGATACTCATTGTGGTGTGGTACGTTATCGCCTAGTATAAGTACGTATGATGAAGGTGTAAAGTGTAGACTGACTTTACCTAAATTATATTTCTTTTGTATATAGTCTAAAAGAGTGATTATTGTTTTGAATCGAAATATCCTATCAAAATGTGTATCTACCTAGAAACATACGAAATTAAATCAGTATAGCTCGGGTCGACGCCGCAAATCGATTGATCGTTCAAGTAGGTTTATGATGTATCTACCTAGGGGTGCCCCGTGCCTATAGCTAGTGGTGTAATATCTATGTACCGTGGCAAAAAAAAATTGTCGCAACGGATTCAAAACGCTATTAATTTTTGCAAATAGGTAAGCTACAAAATAACATTATACACATTAACACTTTAAACTTAATAAAAAACTTTAAACTAGATGACGCCGGCTGTTTTGAGAAGGAACACCGAAATAAATACAAAGGCCCGAATCTTTTTTAAAAATGAATAGTAAACTTTTGACTTAGGTACAGAATTACAGCTTTATATTTTTTCTATTTTTAAAGAAGCTTGAATATTTATATGACTGGTTTCACAGCCTCTACTTATCTAGAACTAAATTATGAAAGCACTATTTGGTAGGATCTAGAACTTAACCTACTATTTTTAATTAGCTTCTATACATCAGAATGTTTTATTTATCAGTCAGAAGAGATTTTTTTTACCGACTTCAAATAAAAGGAGAAGGTGTTCGGGTCATTGTTTTTTTTTGTTTGTTCGCCGATTATCCGCCATTTGTAAACCGATTCCCAAAATTCTTGTTTTATTTAAAAGGTATACTCCCGAGATGGTCCAATTTCCATGAAGTCAGGATCTGATGATGGAATCCTAAGGAAACCAAGGGGAACTTTCGAAAATTGTAGGGGCGAGTAGTGCGTCTATTTTGTTTTTTAATTAGGATTTTTAAACACTTCAATTTGATAAGGGTATGCAGTCGACCTGATGATTGAGCCGACAGACAGTCGAGAGAACTCCTCAACGGCTTATATTAACTACCTTGTGTTTGGGCTTGATTAATTTGTATTGATGAGGACTTTACACCTAAATCAAGTGGGACTGCCATTAAAGGTCTGATGATGAAGAAGTGTTATTGTTAAGGGAACTCTTCAACGGTTTATATACTAAATACCTTGTGTTTAGGCTTGTATTAACTTTGGACCTATGTAAGTAGATCATAAGTGACAAAACGGATCTATGTAGCTTTACACTGAAAATGATACTTCGACTTCGCCGACTTCTAATCTATCAGTGGGTGGGTAACCTATCAGTACTAATAATAGTTATTTTTTGCTTTTTAGTTTTTACCATTCGGTTTTTATTAGTTTTTGGTTTTTTGAAGTCGGTTTTTTAAACACAGTTTTTATTTGAGGGGGTAAAATCATTCAACGACTTCTCCCGCCCGGGTGAGGCGAGAGGGAGTGTCAGACTCTTACTGACTAAAAACCGCCCCGTTCCTATTCCTGCATTTCGAACCGGAGCCCCGGTAACCCGTTAAGCCCTCTGCGGCTCCGTATCTGAACAAACTGGCCTTATATAGTTTTTATTATGTAATATTCGATATCAGTCTGTTACCAACTCCCTGGACTATATAAGACTATCTAGAAGCATATTCGATGAATAAACTCGCTTATCATATGGCCCGGGAGTCTCCAGCGGTTCACGGCATTAGGGCTCTATAAGCATAAAGTCATCCAAAACAAATGGTTCATTGATAAAACATTTCAATGATAAACTTTAAACTTTCAAATACACTGTTATCAGGAACACCTACCCGATGTTTTGATTCTGACGCAACTTTATTTTGCAATTTGGATTATTTTTTAATGTTCCTTTCAACTAGTTAAGTATAGTTTTATGAAGACGGTGCGAGAATTCTGATTTTGTAGGATTAGTAGATATTTGCTGAAATACCTAAAGGCCTTGAGAGTTGGAGTTTGTAATGCTATCTAAATCTAGCTTCCCCAAAGGTGTTCTTATGAATTTCGTATAATGCCAAAATGTAGCCAAAACTACATAGTAACCCACGTTTATAATACCTAACTACAGGTTTCAGATCTTGTAATGTGGAAAAATTACTATTATTATTATTTCATATTGAGAAAATGTTGTGTAACTGGGCCAATAGTTTTTTTTAAAACGTTGCCCCACTCTAGGATTTACTCTGTGTCGGGGTCGCGTTTACAAACATACAAGTTCACATACACATGACAGACCCGAAACAACAATCTGTGGATCATACAAAGAGAAGTTCCGTGCGGGAATTGAACCCGTGTGGGAATTGAATTAAAATGAGTCTGAAATCTATGCCCACAGAAATGTGTAGAGGTACTTAAAAGTTATCGCAATCAATTTGGCAATGTAGAAACAATTCAGGAAGGGGTGTAAAGGAGGGTTTGGAGAAGCTGAATTCAGTTGGGTTGTTGATATAGATATTTACCTTGGCACTTGGTCAGTTAGGAAGAGGGCATCCATTGATATTGGCCTCTGCTGTGAGGCTGAGGAGCATGGCAAGCTATCGCGTTGACCTGACATGCTGTATACAACACTGGTCACAAACTTTAACAGGCCCAGTATGAATCGAGGATACCGGTATCCACACAGTGATAGAGATCTGCCACCAATCGGTACGCATAAAATGCTAACTTTTAATAGCATCCAGTTACAATGAGATTTTCTCGTAGCGAACACTTCGAGATGGCCAATATTTGATATCTGTCAAAAAATTGTAAACTGAAACATTGGTTTTTTTTTAATAAATCGAAGACCGAAGACAAATTAGTTTGAAAACAAATGAGTTTTTATTTAACTTTTATGAATAGGTACTTGAGTATTTACACTACGAATAGTTTTGCGAATTTACTTATCGCATGACGCTGTTATTGCAAGGGTTGGGTTATATCAATCAAAATATTATATTACGTCAGTGTTGTTAACTGCTCGATTCACTCAGTGGCTTGCTCTAATCGCAATATGAAGTTTTTGTTGTGGTTCACACGTTGCTATCAAGATTTAATCAGTGTATGTGAACTTTAAAATG